GAAGGCTCCCGAATAATGAACATATTTATGAGGGGGGGACTCTTCTGTGGCAAACACTTCCCTGGGGGTACCACCGAAAGCACCAAGCCATTACTTGAAATGGAGCGCGTCCCTTTGAGTATCATAACCACATAGCTGCGAATCTAAGTTAAAAGTGATCACTCTATTCCCTATTCCTGAACACATATGCCAGTCTGGGCATCCATATCTGTGAGGTTGGCAGACCGGGGACCTGCAAAGGTCAAAGCACTATGTGCTGTCGCCTGTGGAATATGCAGCCATCCCAAAGTGTCTAGACATAGGGACTAGATCACAGCAAGTTCTCTTGAATAGGCAGAGCTGATGGGGTTGATATACCCCATCAGGAAGAGGGAGTCATCAAAGGAGAGCCAGAGAAATTTACACTTTCCTCATCATGCAAATGCTAATTTACAAACATAAGATCATTCTCCTTTAACCTTGTTCCTCTTGCCGTGTTGCCTAACTGCAAACCAACAATGGTGACATCACCATCATTTCCAGGCAGCAGACGCAAACTACAAAGAGAAAATTTCCATTTGTAGACTGCAGTGTTATTAACCAACGATTCAGGGAAAAAGCTATGAAGGGAGGTGGAGAAGTTAAGGCATCCTGTCTTTGAAAATCTAAGTACAGAGTATATGAAAATTTCCTGAAGAGCGGGAATTCGGGGCCCAACTGTTTTCATTTTATCTTTTTAAAGATTTTATTTCTGAGGCGCCTGGGTGGCGCAGTCGGTTAAGCGTCCGACTTCAGCCAGGTCACGATCTCGCGGTCCGGGAGTTCGAGCCCCGCGTCAGGCTCTGGGCTGATGGCTTGGAGCCTGGAGCCTGTTTCCGATGCTGTGTCTCCCTCTCTCTCTGCCCCTCCCCCATTCATGCTCTGTCTCTCTCTGTCCCAAAAATAAATAAACGTTGAAAAAAAAAATTTAAAAAAAAAAAAAAAAGAAGGAAAAAACCTTCTGGTCTCCATAAGTTAGTCATTTCATGTGTGCCGATATTTCACACAATTTTAAAATAACCTTTTAAAAATCTGTAAGCTTATTTCAATACAAATACAAAGGACTGTAATGAGGTATATGTTATCAGAAGCGAGGAAATAGGCCAACACAAGCAATGTGGTCAAAAGTAAAGAAGGGCAAGATCGAAATGGCAATGGGAGGGAAACAGGTGATTTCTCAACCAAGGTAAAGAATGCCCAGTAATGTGGAGTCAGCCAAGGGAGAGGAATAGAGGACAGAACCATTCAAACACGCTGAAACTATCTCTCCAGGCTTTAAAAATAGACTTAATTCTTTAGAGCAGTTTTAGGTTCACAGGAAAGCTGAGCAGAAAGAACAGAGATTTCCTGTATCCCCCCCCCCCGTCGGCCCCCATATCCCCAGCCTCCCCCATTATTAACATCCCCACCGGAGTAGTACATTTGTTACAACAGATGAACCTACATTGACACATCATCACCCCGAGGCCATAGTTCACATTAGGGTTCACTCTTAGTGTTTACATTCTATGGGTTGAGGCGAATGCATAATGACATGTATCCACCATTACAGTATCATACAGAGTGGTTTCATTGCACGAAAAGTCCTCTATTCACCTGTTCATCCCTAACACTCCCCCCGCCCCCTGCACACACCCCCAGCAACCCCTGGCAAGGGCTGATCTTCTTGCTGTCTCCAAAGTTTTGCCTTTGCCAAAATGTCCTTTAGTTGGAATCATGCTACATGTAGCCTTTTCAAATTAGCTTCTTTCACTTAGTACTATGCACTTAAGTTTCCTCCAGGTCTTTCCGTGGTTTGATAGCTCATTTCCTTTTAGCACCGAATAATAGTCCATTGTCTGGATGTACTACAGTTTATTTATCCATTCACCTACTGAAAGACCTCTTGTTTGCTTCCAAGTTTGGCAATTATGAATAGAGCTGCTATAAGCATCTGCTGCAGGTTTTATGTGGACACAAGTTCTCAGCTCCTTTGGATAAATACCAAGGAGCACGACCGCTGGATCATAGGGTAAGAGTGTGTTTAGTTTTGTAGGAAACTTCCAAACTATTGCACGAAGTGCCTGTTGCATTCTGCGTGCCCAGCAGCAGTGGATGAGAGCTCCCGTGGCCCCGCATCCTTGCCAGCATTTGGCGTTTCTCTCTAGTTTTTAATTCCTCATTCTCTAACAGACATGGATGATAGAGATAGAGACCCAGGTCTCCACGATTGACATACCACCTCACATCTGTCACAATGGGAAACAACACACGTTGGCAAGGGTGCAGCGAAAGGGGAACCCTCTTGCCTTGTTGGTGCGAATGCCAACTGGTGCAGCCACTCTGGAAAACAGTATGGAGGTTCCTCGAAGAGTTACAAATAGAATGATCCAGGGGCACCTGGGTGGCTCAGTCGGTTGAGCATCCGACTTCGGCTTGGGTCATGATCTCACAGCTTGTGAGTTCGAGCTCCACGTCAGGCTCTGTGCTGACAGCCTGCTTCGGATTCGGTGTCTCCCCCTCTCTCTGCCCCTCCCCCCACTTGCACTCTGTCTCTCTGTCTCTCTCTCAAAAATAAGTCAACACTAAAATTTTTTTTTTTTAAAAAATAGAACGGTCCAGCAGTTGCACTACTAGGTATTTACCCAAACCATATAAAAATACAGATTCGAAGGGATAGATGTCCCCCACTGTT